GTCTTGGTAGACTTAGTGTCTTACCAAAGACTGTGGGACTCTGAGTGGAGTCAGTATGATTTGTATATGTGTGCATGGCGGGTGAAGAAAGACTGTCATCTGGGAAAGCGCCGTCTCGTCTTATCATTTGATTTTTTTTACTGCGGGACCAGAGAGCTACGTTGAGTGCAGCGGCCACGATGAATGGAGATATCGCGGCAAGATTCGTGTCAGGCGCGTCGCCATGCTTTGACATAACGACCCATATCTCACGTAGGTACACCACCTTTGTCGTCGCGCATCACGCGCGGCGTCATGAAAGACCAGATGTGTTTCATCAGGGTACAAGCGCTCAAGCGCTGCATATCTTTCAGCACCGAAAGGTGCGATTTCCATTTGGTGCGTGCAGTGTTGTTTCGTGGTTACTCTATACCTTGAGGCGGAGCTTACGATGATGGCCAAACGGCTAGAGTCAGACGGCAAGGGTTACCGATTGGTGGGCGTACAGGGGCGTGAGCGGCGCGAGTACGGACCTGCTGAGCTGCTGGAGGCATACTTCACTGCGAAACGCACATTGTCCATCACCGCTCAGTCCCACCTGCTTTTCGATAAGTTTATTTCCCATTCTTCGACCTGCAACCTTACCGTAGAATCCTCCTTTGAGTGAGATGCTTTCCATTTCCAAATCTGATATAGGAATCGAAAGCTGTTACCGGTTATCGCTCGTGCACTGCACAACACTCATCCGATTGTATGAGCACAGCTATGTAGTGTATCGAGTTGGAGTGCCCTTTATTCCCCATCCAAAAAGTCCTGAACATATATGAATTGTCTCATAGTTGTAGTTTTGCTTATCGCGTTTCGATTGTCATGGATAAAACGCTGACAACAGTTAGGCAAGAAAGCAAAAAGTCGTCCGGAAATAAATCCGATGATCAAAGATTGTAATAAAATGCGGTTGCACTAAGAGTACGCCATAAAAAGTTGACGTAACACCAGTAAATATAGTGTTCGACAACTTGCCAGTAAAGAGTTTATTGCACTTTGGAAAAGTTTTGCTTTTTGCCCTGTATTGTTTGCGGTTTTTTTGGATGTAATAATTATCGATGCGAAGCTTTTCAGTTTATATTCCAGGCTGCGAAACGTTACGCGCTTGAACGAGCATGTGGCAAGAAGGCTCTAATCGAGGAACTAGTGAACCTGTCACAAGTATAGATAGTAACCAAAGGTAGTTGTGGAAGAAGGCGTCGTTGTGATAAAGAATCTCTTTTTCTTGTGGATTGCTACGCGGTACAGAGGAAGTTTTTGCCTGCATGTCAGCTTAATGCAAGGAGGAACGCAAATCAAGGTCGCTGTTGCTGCCGCTATCGGTGAAAGTGGGGCGTGCTGACGCAGTGCGGTCAGCTTTGCAGCGAGCACCGCGACATCGTCCACTGTTCACCGTTTGTGGCCGTCACGCTATTACTATATGATGGCGCATTTGTATGCTAGGCTTTTGAAGAAGAATGTCCCAAATTACGTTGATTCTGTGAAGGAGCTTTGTTGAACATTTTATATCGCAACAGATTTTGTCACTTATAACTTCAAGAAATGACATTGAATAAAACTGTATATATGTGTCTAACTTATTCACCTCTGGTCAAGCTGTGGTCGTGACCATGTGATCCCGGCTTCCTCTCTTCTACACAGTGATTGAATCTCTCTATATCAACGATTAGCGATCTTTGGATGATATGGTGGGTGTACTCATTCGACACTTCAGATGTCCGAGTACCGGGCACCCACCAATTGAGGTGTAGGAAATGTCGCCCAGTGGGGCGCGAAACGTGGCCTTTCGGTTAGTATCGCTGGGATCGGCAGTCAACTTGCCCGTTGGGCAAACTTAAACTTTTCTGTCCCATCATCGGCCTCGCTCTACGATCTCCATCGCCCAGTTTTTCATCCCGAGACTAGTCAACGTACCCTCTAATTCGGAAGGCGAGAAGAGCGTCGAGTGCAGACCACACACCACAAGTGACGACAGCCAGGAAATAAAAGCATTTTTCTTGGCTATCGTCTCTTTTCGTGTGTAGTCTGCATTTCGACGCTCGTTCTCGTTCGGATATAAAGTTGTACTTCAACCGCGCCCACCATTCACCTCTCGGCCGTCGTGCGGGGCAAATGTCCTAAGAAATGGAAGCAGCTTTGATTTTCAATATTTCATGCTTCTTTCTTGAAGTCTTGGTGTCCCACTTGCTTATATCACATTGTCTGTCATTAACTGTGTCGGACCATAGTTTCGCCGAGTTGTTCGTGGGGTATGTCATTTCTACAACACTGCAATATGAGCGTACATAGACAAACCCGGGGGGCAGGATCAAACAGACACGTGCATACTTCAAAGAATTTTTTGCGACTCCCCAGATCGAGGAGGCTCCCAATTACGCACCTCTCTTTCCTGGTCCTTCAACCACCATCCTCACAATTATGGTTTCTATAGTATCAAATTGCTATGATCGCAAAGCCACGTCCGCAAAGTCGACACACTTTTCAGCCGGCAAAATAGCCATTGAGCGGGGCCGAAATTGGTACTTACGAGCGGCCCCCAAATCCTTTTTTTTTTCAATGTTGCCTATTATTACGCTTTCGTAAAACTGGTCGGTGGTCGCGGTGGGCTCGCATGTTACTTGACGGCGCCAGGGCTACGGCAGCCCATCGGTTGGCGCATTTAATGTTAGGTTCATGTTCTCCAGTCACGTGAGATCCATTTTCGTTTGTAAAGGGAGAAAATTTGAGATTACCGAACCACTTTGACTAACTTTAACGGGTCTCATCCAGTAAGGGGGCATCAAGTGGCTGCCCTCACCCCCCCCCCCCCTAGACTGCCTACACTCCCCCTGGCGCACAGGTTTCTCGAAGTACGGGACCCCGTGAGCCAGGGGGAGTGAAGGCCAGTCTAGGGGGGGGGGGGGTGGGCAGCCACTTGACGTTGCATCACAATGCCTCCCCCCCCTTACTGGATGAGACCCGTTTCCACACTCACCTTGGGCATTGCGCCTCTGAAAAATAGGGATTACGTCGGCGGAACGAAATGCACCGATTTTTTCTACTTGTGGTTAGTAGGTACGCCGCCTCATCATATGTGGAAGTTGCATGTTTAAGCGCTAGTTAAGGATACTCTTACGCGACGGCTCGCGCCGTTGTCCTGTTGTGAAGGTTGATCTGTTGATGAGACCCCTCATTTATGTTGAAATTGTTCTGTGCACTTGAATTGCCACCAAAACAGGTCGAAGTGGCAGAAAGAAACAGATTTATACATTTTCAGAATTTTTACACCTAGACGCGAAAACTGCAGAATGAAGAATTCTAAGAATTCAGGCCAGCACAAAGGTAAGATCGTTCTCAAACACCCCATTGTTGCTTAGGGATAAATTGTTAAAGGCATGGAAAAACATCATGATAGTTAAAAAGAACAACAAAGTAGACAGCAGCATGCATGTTAAGAATACGTCTATTACAAGGATACAGCTTTTCCACTCTCACGACGCTAATTAGATAGTTCATTAGATTAGATCTAAGCTAATGCTTATTTACACAATCAACTTTATTCAAGATAAAGATTTTTTCCAGGAGGCGGCGGCTAGGTATTTAAACTAAGTTTGAGTTACCAGGCTAAGCCTCATTCACAGTTCGCGCTTGCAGCCAGCTGCCGATGTGGATCAAATCAGGCATCACTCCGCCTTCGCGGCTGACATTATGAGCAGATTCGTCAGATGCAGGTAGAATCTTTGCAAATTCAATTCCGATTCTAGGAGATGGTCAACATTTCAACTAGAAACTGCTCAGTGCTCGCACTAAATGCATGGCCCGAGGGTCCTGTATCGTTCGATACGAATAATATGTTGCCTAGGTCAACTAGGAACTCCATCCTTGAGGTAAAGGCGTAGCGCATTTAAAATAGAAATTGATCAAGGGTTGAGCCTTAAATCTTTTTCGTCCTCCTCAAGTGATAACCAACGTGGGCCTGTAGCTGGGGTTAGTCGCGCGGAGATTCATCCTTAAATCGCGTTTCACCATATTTTTAGCCAAAGCAATTCACGATGAGATTTTCACACTTTTGTAAGAAAAGAGAGGGGGGGGGGGAGGAGGAGGGGGTAATGTCTGATGATTATTTTCAGCAGAAACAAGATGAAGATCGTAATGGTAAAGAATAAACTTTGCCGTTACGGTTCTTGATCTGGTTCACGGCAACTATTATCACTGTTAGATTTTCCATATAAGGGTTTCTGAATGGGCGAGATTTTGAAAAATCAACCCGAATCTGTGTGTACATAGAATGTGATTTTCTAGGAAAGATGAGTAAGTGTTTCAAGGATGCAGTGATCCCCGAAAAAGTCCCATTTTCATCCCACTTGACTTCTTCCGCCTTGTGAAACGGTAGTGACGACAGTTTGGGCGTGTTGCTTTGGCGATTTACAACGTACAAACGCTAGCATTCCTGCACGAATCTGGCTGTTGAAGAAGAAATACACGTAGGGATTTGAGGAGTTGTTCATAATGCTGATAACGTTTTGCGCAAGACTTGAGTAGAATCGATCGTTCCCGGACCCAAGCATAGGCAGAACAGTGAATGATAACGTCTGAAGCTCGAGAAAGAACGAGATTATCACAGCCTGGAAATAAGATGTTATGAGTAGGTAAGGAGCTGGTCCTGGGAAGAACATACCTGGACGACTAAATTGACTTCGTATTTCCGTTGTCGTTGCCCGGTTTTGCCCTTTGTGGTCGTCTGCGCTAGTCTTGTTTTTATATAGAAGAACAGTATAATGTACGTAATGAACATTATAATGGGAAACGTGTAGCTTTGGTATCGCATTGACTAAAAAAAATAAAAAATCGGATAGTTACTTCTTGCGGAAAGCGGCATCCAATCATGCATTGTTCCTTTTCTATATTTTGTATTTATTATATAGACCACACCATTATACATATGACTATACACATATGACCATACACAGCGAGGTTCACCAGGTGAAAAGTTTCCAAGTCTTATGAATTTTTCAGTTTGGTTCATTCCTGGTTTTCCATACATTTTGATAATGCCTTCAGCTCAATTTAGCACTAATACATTCCTGGGTTTTCGCACTTATCGGACAAATCGAAGTAATTCTGGTTAATTAAATCTGTCTAATTAACTTACGCTGAGCCATATGACTACGTAGATCAAATCTGGATTTTTGCATGAAAAATAAAAGTAAAATTCGTCGTAGGTGAACTGCTTGTAACAGCGCATGCTGTACTCGACGGTGATCTGCATGAGTAAGAAGCACCAAACGAAAATAATTGTCCTGAAATCGGGAACTCTGATTAGCCATCGATCGCTATCGATTTGTAGGTAGGACGAACTTTTTAATATTGCTGCTATCGAAGAGCAGCGAGTGGATTCTTGGAAATAGAAATACCGTCAGACGATTCACAGCCATCAGGAAAGTGAAGTCAAGGACACCGTTATATCCGACAGTGTCGAGAAAATTCACCACGTTATAAACCCAGATGGCTGGCGTTCCGTCATAGATCTGAATAGGAAGCTATTAATGGTCTGCCAAGGCATTGATAATCTGGTTGTAACTCACGTTTGCGCCGTAGAACGATAGTGGAAATGCAACGATCAGTTGAGAAGAAAGCTGGCAAAAGTCACTGATGAGAATCTGCTCCGCCAACAGGACGAACATTTTTTGTTTTGGCATCGAGCCAATCTGGAATTTTTCTCGAATTTTCTAGGTTTACGCTGAGAGAAAATAGAAATTTCCAGAAAAAGTGAACTACCAACACAGGCGAAACAGCGGTTGCGGCGCGTTCTGACCCATCTAATCAGTAGCCAGCACTGGCTCTGAAGCCAGCTCATGCTATTCTTCGACGTTCATATGTAGTACTCAAACAGTCTGGTTTGCGGACGACGATGATCGCGCTTTCATCAACGCTGCTTTTTGCCCTACGATTTGACTACTTTTGAAGTGTTCTTTTTCCTTTCTTTGCAATCAAAGTCCTTCGTTATGATCTCGAATTTCAGAGGCTGGCTGTAGTGCTCATCAGACACCTTAAATAATCATGCTATGCAAAGATGTGCAACCTGCAAATATGAGTATCCCTGCATGAGAAAGGTAAGTACAATCATCCCAGGCATGAGATGAAGCAGTGACAGCCTGGTGGCAGCTGGCGCTATTTTTACATGAACGGTCAATGGGTCAAGTCTTGCCCGGGTTGGCTAGATCTTCAGTTCCACCCGGACTGGTTCGTTAGCAGTATGCTCCAGGTTGAATCTTGGCTAGAAGGATGGGCCTAAACACGTTAGCAATTTGAGAAGAGTTCGAAGGCGTGGCGCAACCCTGAACGTTAGCCGAGCCGCACTTCCCCTGGTTTTTTTTGAGTGTTGAAGATCAGCTACACTCTCCTTGTGAACTGACGTCTGCAGTGAATGCAGCTTGAGTGATAGTGGCTTGCTATCATATCAATTTTCGGTTTATTTTTTGACCCCCTCCAGTGACGATAAGCACGGTAGGAAGAATATATGTGTTTGACTTCATTACTCAAATTACAACAGAAGTACGTATGAAGAACGTGTGAGAGCAACGAGCAAAAAGTCGTCCATATAGAAAACACTTGCATTTTTCGCGTGAGTCGTCATTGTATGACAAGATTAGAAGATAGATATAGATGCTTCTGCAAGGATGAATGGCAGTGTACACCACGTATTGGCCGCGATGATCAAATGAACGAAGACCAACGAAGGCACTTCTCTGTCTACCCTTTTGGCCAAGCGAATATTCACCTCGGCTATGCGACTCTTTCTTCTCTTCAAAGAAAGTGCAAAATGGGACCCCTTTTTGGCCGTTGGTTTTCACTCATGAACAGGTAACAGCTCAGAAAGCGGCGTATGAACGAGTTCAGCGCAACGCGTTTGGTGACACCATGCCAAACCACGCTCCAATCGAGTTGCTCCAGTTGTGCCGCTGCTGGCAACGCAGCTCGTCCAAATCACCAACTAAACTAGTGGGCGGATCGCTTTTGGGGCGGAGTGCTTTCGAAGTCCTGCTCAGCAACCAGCGCACCTTTCGTCGTGAAAGCGCCACACCTCGCTTCCCTGGCAGCCAAGTAACTGATTCGTGTGGTGCATATGCTTCCCCGATGCGCTCCCTCTTTATCGTAATCGCTGCCTTTAATCCTAACCAATGGCTTCAATGTAGAAAGGATAAGAAGGGGAACCAATCTGAACGCTGGTTTTTTTCGGTGGGCACCATGCTTTTACTTCCTTCAGAATCTATGAGAAGATCTCATGGGATGTGACAATGTGACGGCTTCCTACAGCCGTTGGATGCGCATGTAAGTCTAACAATAAGACGACTCTGGTACAAATCAAAAAAGAAACCCCGCAAGAATGCAAAGCATAGATGGCTTCTGCGTATTTCGATCCACTGACCTTACCTGTGAGACAGAGTAGCGCCTCATTCTACTGCCCCACAAAATGGTCATAATTATTGAATATTTGTAGGTTCATTGCAGGGATGTGTGGTTTGAAAAAGATCATCATCGAACTCACTTTGATCAGCGTTATTGCAAGGATGATGTTCGGAATGATGCCAATTATGGACAATATCAGGTACGTCAAGGACATCATGTACCGTATACCTTGAGATGGTGGAAGGAGTAGCACTGCAGCGCTCATAATGGATACTGATGACTGAAATGTTGTTGTATAGTAAAAGTGTAACTCATAGCACGCAGCATTGTAGTTTCGATTAAATTGTGTGAAGAGTAGTGGCGATACAACAAAATAGCGAAGATATGGGAAAAGTGAAAAAAATCCAATAATATATGAGGGTTGTGGGGTGGTGATATGTTATCACTATATATTGTGTGTTAGTTTTTGTGCCTTTCGAGGTTGGTCGGTGGAACTTTTATTAAAGCGGCCTAACGTTCCGACTTGATCGTCGTCTTCGGAGGCCCTGGTTCCACCGTTTGTGCGGAGAAATCCGCTACCACACTTTAGCGTTGACTACTAGGCAATGCTAAAAGGCCTACTAACCAGGGCCTCCGAAGACGACGATCAAGTACGGAATTTTAGGCCGCATTTAATAAAGCTAACACACAATACAACTTATTATGCCGAGGTTGCAAGAAGAGAGAAGCTGGAGATTTATCACTATATAGTTATGAATTATTTCTTCTAGCTGTCCTTAATTTTCTTATTTGATTGACCTGTTGCTTGATTGGACTCATTTTTCGAGTTTTTGGAATTATTTTCGACATTATTGACTAATTGTTTACTTTAATGATTAAATACATATTTAAGGTTGATAATAACTTAATTAAGAAGGGCCCGGATAAGTGCCAATAAGTGCAGGTGGCAAATGAAATAAAAAAGGACTTCAAAAGGTTTTTAGAGGTTCTCAAGGTCCAGAGGTCGAAGAAGAGGGGCAGAGGGAGGAGAGGTAGCTGGTATGAAAAAGCTTGTATCATTTTCTCTACTCCTCACATGAAATGCTATAGGGAGAGGTGGTGTAGTGTCAAAAGGCGCCGCTGACAATTCTTGTAGCACTAGGATTCGAGTTCGTGCTACTGCTTCGGCGTCACGTGTGCTTAGTGCGGTATGCACTTTTAAAGGTTCTTATATTTCTTATATCTAAGCGCTTTCTATCGAAAGTCTTCATCATGAATTGAATGATGCCTTTCAAAATGATTGAACAAACCTCGATTGTCTCAAGCGAACATAAAAAATGGGAAAATGTTTAGAATTCTGAAGCATTTCTCGCAGTTGAAAGTTGAAGCTTTGAAGAGCGAGAAAAGCAAAGTATTCAATCACGTTGATAACTGCTATCAATTAAATACAAGCAACCATTTATGGAGCTCATAGCTTTAATCAAATTAATCTAATAATTACAATCGTTACCTGTATGAGTGTATGCCTTTATGGGAAAACAAGTCTGAAGGCGTTCTAAGGGCTTTATTTTTTTGCAATACAGTAAGATATTTCGAGTGATACGGTAAGGCACGTCCAGATTGCCGTTACTAAGTGAAGCACTGTCTTCATTAAGTGGACTTCGAAATGCACCACGCATTCGACTTCTTCGGGAAACACTGCCATGTATATCTGTCGATGGGACTGTAAAACTGACTTTGTGCCTGACTCAGAAGGCTAATAAGCTTACATTTTGAGCATGGGCCTTCCTCATTTTGGGAAAGTTAGCGATGTCGGATAATTGCGAAAGCACTAATCCGTCTGATTCTGAATCGCATTATGCCCTGCATGATCGCAGGCTCATCATTAGCTGAGATATTTTAATAATTAATCCGATTTGCGTGAAAAATTTTCTCACACAAACATAAACATTTTCTCACACAATATAAACATGAACAAAGGGAAGAGCTCAACTAGGGAAGAGGTTCTTCCTTTGTTGTGTTCATTCCTTTGCTCACGCTTATGTAATGGTTAGTTATTCAGCAACTGCTTTGCTCTGAAGGTACCCTCTTGACCTCCATTGTACGCACAATACAAATACATAATAAATAAATAAATAAATGATGAATAAATTAATAACTATCACGAGGGCAACTCAGCGTGAGAAGGTGTCAACGTTTTTTGACAAAAATGAGCGCAACGCATTCTTAAAGGAACGCCCCAGGGGAAGACAGTTTGCAGCTGTTCGTGCGCTGGTGAAGAGCAAAGGTGAAAGGAAAGTTTGAAGAATAAATTCAAACAACTCGAAACTACTGCGCTTGACTACTTTATTCAAGGTGGTCGTTGATAGCGCGTAAGAAAAAAGCAGCAAGAAGCTGGAAAATGCAAAGTGTGACACCGTGAACGAACGAGAGGCGCAGATGCAAGGGCGTTGCATAACGGTCGACTCCGCTGTCACTCATGCCCACCAATCGAGAGAATTGGCAAGGCTCTAGAGCTCGTGTCGCATACTTTGAAGAAGAATTATCGACAAGAGCGAAGGTAAAGAAGGGGACAATTGCACGGCTGGGAAAGAGTCGGACCATGAGGGTGCTGACCGAGGCATCGAAACATCTGACCGCAATTGGCAGCGAAAGATTTGACCTCGGCGATCTAGCATGGCTCACTCTTGGCGCGGTTGGCGGGGTACGCCCACCGACTATCTAATCAATCACTCGCCGCAGGTCTATACGTGGCGAGTGATTAGATAGCAGAGAGAGCGTAGTGTTGAAGAGGGCACAGCGATGAGAGTCGCATCAATGCGCAAATCAACGGGCAAGGAAGGGGTCCCATTTCTCGGGTTCTGGGCCGTTTCTCATGGTTTTTCCTTCTTTCGTGTACCACTCACCATCCCTTAATTTGAAATGGGTTGCTTTTTCATCGTGAATTCGTCCTTTGAGCCGTGTGAATGGCGAATCAGTTACCCCCGCTAGCAGGTCTATCCCACCCACCGAAAGTTGCTCTCGCGATCTAACTCGGTAGCTTGCTTTTGAATAGGTGAACGTGAGCAGCCTTCAGTAGCGAATAGCATACGGAAACATCGCAGTCGTGGCGCACTTAAGGATCAGTTCCTAGTCTGTTTCTTTTCTTTCTAATAAATGTCATGGTAAAAGGGTTAAAACGGATAGCAGAGAAGTTCAAGCCAAGGTGCAGAAATGGCAGAAAGTCCTGGCAGAAGGTGGGCTCGGCTGAATGTCAAGAAGACCAAGTTCCTGAGCTCTGAAGAGGGTGCAGAGCCGATCGTGGACGGCCATGGTGAGACCATCGAAAGAGTGGAGGACTTCCGCTACCTTGGGAGCGATCTGGCAGCCGACGGTAGTGTGGATCAGGCAGTGAAGGCTCGGGTCAACGCTGCATGGATGAAATGGAGGGAGTCCACTGGAATCCTCTGCGATCGAAGGTGCTCCAGAACGCTCAAAGGGAAGGTGTACCGGACAGTGGTAGGCCTGCGATGCTATACGGCAGCGAGTGCTGGCCCCTGAACAAGAATCACGAAAGGCAGCTTCACTCCGCTGAGATGAGGATGCTGAGATGGGCCTGCGGCTGGACGCGGCTGGACAGGGTCAGAAACGAGGATGTCAGAGCGGTCATGCAGACTGCCCCTGTCCAGCTGAAGGTACGGGAACAGCGTCTGCGATGGTATGGGCACGTGCTAAGGAGGCCACAGGATCATCCGATAAGAAAGCGATGGACTTCGAAGCGCAAGGCAAGCGACCGCGAGGAGCCCCAAAAAGATGTGGAGGTGTTCTCCAAATCTTTTTTGAGGCTTATCAAGAAGGGCCTAGTGAATTCATGGCCACAGCAGAAGATGCCCTAGACAGAGCGAAGTGGCGACGACTGACAAAGACAGCGGACCCTGCGACTGCGCGGGACTAACGCTAGGGAAGAAGAAGAAGTGCTTTTAAGAGCGCTACAAGTTATTTATTTGCTGCCCCCTTATCTTTGCTGGATGCAAATGCGTTGTGAAGAAGACGTCGTTCAATCCTTTCTTGGATTCCACGAGGTAAGCCAGCCCTTTTGGCGTTTCTGCTAGGACCGCATGCTGAATGTTGGGGAGGAGATGGGGTCCCCGAGGTCGACGGACTACTTGAACTCGGTCGGTACGGTAGGAGAGTGATGACGAAGTGGTGCAGCTAGGTCCAGCAGCTCCGC